TAAGACTGTGATTACCTTATCTTAGAATTCCGGTAGGCTATTAAGACAGTTCATTAACAGCCTTTGAATGATAAAGAGTAAGTTATTTGAGTAAAATAAGCTTTGTATAGAGTTTGTGTGTGCTGCGTTCTTTGGGGTCCGTAGCTGGGGCAGAACAGCCCCTCTGCTGCAGCTCAGTCATCAAACACTAGCAAGGAAGCATAATATCTCTCTCTATGCCATGGGAAGATCTTCCTGCAAATGTCTGCTAATCAAGCTTAATGTTTTTATTCTTGTCTAATGGCAACCCTAGAGGTTCAGCTAACTAAAAGAATATATAAAAGCAAGCGTTATTATGAGGTAGCTTCACACAACATTGCCCCGAATGATGAGGGAGATCACACATGATATTAAGAAGGGTGGGTGGGTGAGTTATCATTAAGAGACGATTCGCTGAAAAGAAAGCTGGCAAATGAATAATGTGTTTCCAGGCCTTGGAATCTTCGCAGAAAAAAGTCCTCTAGTTTGTGTCAATATTGCGTGCAGTAATGAAATTTTACAGGTGCAGATTAACAGAGTTGGAAAGGATCCTGTAGGTCAGCGGTTACCAACTGGTGGTCCGTGGACCACTGGTGGTCCGCAAGAAAATTTTGGTGGTCCGCAGAACAATTATTTGTATTTTTAACATTGCACTAAATCAGGGGTCCTCAAACTACAGCCCTGGGACAGATACATGCAATGAATGTTTGCGTTGCTGCAGAGAGTCTCCCCATTTGAGGTCTTTTTGTGTGGGTTGGAGGGGGACAGAAATTCCGATTTGGGGTCTGCTTCAGCCTCCTGGTGTGGGGCTTTGGGTGAAGGCTGGAGGGAAGTGCAGCTGGTGGTGAAGAGCTGAAGGACCTCGATCCAGTGGGACTGCATCATGGCCTGGAACTGGCTGACCATTTCAGCCTGCTGAGTCTTGAGGCACCGGTACCTGGCCTTGCACTCCCACAGGTCTTCCCTCTGCTAGGAAAGCCTGTGCTCGTAGTCCTCAGTGAGGTGCTTCTGCTGAGCCTCCTTCTTGGTCAGATCCAATTTGAACTGAGCCAGCTGTTTTGCCAACTCTTTCTCGTGGTGGCTGGTTAGTTCCAACAACCGCTTCCTGTTGGGGCCGTAAGGAGCCTGAGCGGGGATGTGAGGCGCTGGCCACACCCACTTAGTCACATGACCACCTAGCCACGCCCACCTAGCCGGTCATTAGGCAGATCGTATTAGTGGTCCGCGGGATTTAAAATTATGAATTTAGTGGTCCCTGAGGTCCAAAAAGTTGGTGACCCCTGCTGTGATCATCTAGTCCAATCCACACCCACCCAAGCAGGAGACCCTACACCATTTCTGACAGATGGCAGTCCAGTCTCTTTTTGAAAGCCTCCACTGATGAAGCTCCCACAACTTCCGAAGGCAACTTCTGTTCCAATGTTTGGTTGTTCTCACTGTCAGAAAATTTCTCCTTATTTCCAGGTTGAATCTCTCCTTGTTGAGTTTCCACCCATTATTCCTTGTCTGGCCTTCGGGTGCTTTGGAAAATAGCTTGACCCCCCTCCTCTCTTGTGGCAGCCCCTCAAATATGCTTCAGGGTTTGAAAGCCAGTAATAAAACATGAGCAAGGCACTGTTTGATGAGGATTACAAAATTCAGAGTTTTATCTGACAAACACGAAAAAAGAGCTGTTTCTAAGGTGAACGCTTAAAAGCTGGAATAGCGGAGCCAATCTCCATCATCAAAATCAATGAGATTCTTCAAGCGGTCCCCCGCGTTACAATGGTTCGTTTAATGACCATTTGAAGATACAACGGCATTGAAAAAAGTGACGGAGGATCATTTTTCACACTTATGACCGTTGCGGCATCCCCGTGATCAAAATTCAGACCCCTGGCAACGGACTCATATTTATGACTGTGTGTAGCGTCTAAGTAAATGGAATAATAAAATAAAATTATAGAATAATCTTGCCTTAAAACAAAACGCCAGCGGGGTCTGAGTAACGCAATGGTTTAGTATTGAGAATTAGGATTTTCTGGAAGAGAAACTCGGAGAGATTCTATATACAAGACCTTTCTTAAGACCAACTCCATCTCCACCGTTATTCCTTATCTGTTGGTTCTTATGAGCATAGACCTCCCTCTGGTGGAATTTTCGTGCAGGACCTGCTAGATATCTGAAGAATACAAGACGTTAATGCTAGCCTCAAATACCTATAGAACATAGGATCATAGGCCTGCAAGTAACTTTGGAAATCTTCTACTCCAATCCCTTGTTCAAGGCAGGAGACCTTCTACCATCTCGGTCCAGCAGTTGTTCAGTCTATGGTCAAGGTTCCAAGTAATATTCGCCATTCAATAAGAATTCTGAGGTAGGTGCTTTAAAGGTATTAAGAGATTTTTAAAATGCTTAACATAAGACTATATTATTTTAAAAGATATATAAGATAAAATGTGTAAGATTTTAAGATGAAAAAATTTTCTTTTTTTTCTTTTTTTCTGGAATAGAATTGGAATTTATTCATGATTTCTACTGTTTGTAAGACTGCTAAAGTATCAGATTATACATCAAGAAAAAGTTTTTTTCTTTTTCTTTTTTATAAGTAGGAAGAATGAATTTAATTTAATTGGTTTTGAGAATTTATAAAAGGGAGGTTGATGAATTGGAGCAAGAGAGTTAAAGAACATGTGGGAGTTTTGAACTTTATAATTTGTTAGTTTATTTTAGTGTATGTTTGTTAGATGCTATACCCTGTTTTTGCTCTGGGAAGTCGGGGGTGTGTGGGGAGGGAGGGGATAAGGGATGGGGGGAAAGGTGGTGAATAGAGAAATGTTTTAGCAGAAGAAAGTATATTCTATGAGTAGAATACAGGAGTTGCTCAGACACTAAAGGAGGAAAATATTTCACAGCAAAGAAGTTAGAAAGGAGAGAGGAGGAGGGGGTAGGAGGAGGAGAGGGAGGGTGAGGAATGGAAGAAAGGAGAGGAGGAAGGGAAGGGAAGGGGACAGGGGTAGGAGTGAAGGCAAGAAGGGGGAAAAGAAGGGAGAAGTGGGGGAAAGGGAAAGGAAGTAGGATGAGGTGGGAGAAGAGGCAGCAGAAAGTAGGAGAGAAGAGGAGGGAGGGAAGGGAAAGAAAGGAGGAGAAGAAGAAGGTTTGTTGTGGAATGAGGGAAGAAAGAGAAGAAGAGCAACTCCGAATGTAATTAAAATGTCTTATTTTAATGCTTTCTTTAAGGGAAACATGTATATGTAGGATTTCTTATGTATAAGAAAATGTACAATTTATGTGGGGAAGGGGAAAGGGTGGGGGGGAGAAAATTGTTTGAATTTCTTATAAAACTTTTCAATTAAAAAAAAAAAAGAATTCCGAGGTAGGCATATTCCTCAAAGAACAGTTTATTGGAACATATTTATTTATTTATTTATTATATTTCTATACCGCCTTTCTCCCATAGGACTCAAGGCGGTGTACAGTCAAGAAAAAATATAGATACACAAACATCATAAAATTGCTAATTAAAATTATTATTATAACATAGTTTGGCCCAATTAAATAAAACCCAGAATTAGATAACATTTAAAAAATTCATTCACATGTTCGTATGTTTAGCCCCGCCTGTTGGAACATCAGGGTCTTGAGGGCACGTCAGAAAGCACGGAGATCAGGGATATTCCGTATCTCCGGGGGCAGTTCATTCCAAAGGGTTGGAGCCCCCACAGAGAAGGCCCTCCCTCTGGGAGTCACCAGTCGACATAATTTGACTGACGGTACCCTGAGTAGTCCCTCCCTGTGAGAACGAACTGGTCGGTGGGAGGCTACTGGTGGCAAAAGACGGTCTCGTAGGTACCCAGTTCCTAAGCCATGGAGCGCTTTAAAGGTGATGACTAACACCTTGAATCAAATTGGCATCTTCTTCTTTCTTTAAAATTTTATTTTATTGCCATGTCAGAACAAAGCAAAGCCAGAGAGAAATCAATGGTACATCTTAACATACAAGCTAATAACTATAACTGTACTATGTTAACAGTAATTACAGTAATACAACCAAAAAGGAAAAAGGAAAAGAAAACTTCAACTAAATTTCTACTTACATTAGCTTATTTACAATTTTTCCCATATTATATCCATAGTTTTATACAACTTCGTTGTCCACACTAACAATTATTGACATTCATAATCTCCTTCTCATTTCTACCTCTTTGTCTCTAACCGTTCATAAAATTTATTCCATGTCCTATAATATTTCGAGTCTTCTTTATCTTTAATTTTTAAAGTTGATCTGTCCATTTCAGCACAATCTCAAATTTTCTTAATTATGTCATCATCTGATGGGGTTTACGCATTTTTCCCATATTTAGCATATGTAATTCTAGCTGCCGTCAGTATATGTAACACTAAGTAAATGGTTTATTTGTATACTTTTCCAACAATATACCTAAAAGGCACGTTTCTGGTTTGAACTCAGTATGTTGCTCAGTTATCATTTCTAACCAATTATGAATTTTCTCCCAGTAACTCTAACTCTTTTGTAAGAAAGCAAGGAGTTACTGGGAAATTGGCATCTTCTTGGTGGAAAACCGGCTCTAGGTTCCCGCCGGTTTTTCACCCAATTAAAAATAAAACTTTATCATTTCCCCCTCAGAGTCTCCAGTCACATGGTCCAATCAGCAAATAGTCCAGTTGTTAGGTGGCCTCAGTCTCCTCCATTCAAACATCTGCATAAACGTCCTTGATTCCCAAGGAAAAGAATATTATTTTGGCTACAACACCACAGCTATCTCTCCACACACACCCCTTCCTGGTGCCTTCGCTCCAGGCTGTGTCAGCCCTGAAGCCGTGAGAAGAAAAATTCTCTAGAGAAAAGCTACAAACGAAAATGGCCACAGCTTGGCCAACTTCAGAGCTGAAATCTATTTTTGAACACCTCCAGTGAAAACCCACTTGAGTTAATTGCTGTCATCTTTAAAAGGGGGAAAAAAGAGACATTTGGGAAAGCACTTTTAACATTAGGAGTTTTTATTCATCGTTCAAAAATGTGCAAACACCCAAGAACCAAGGCAACGTAAATTAAACTAAGATTCTCCAGGATTCATGCTGTTCGGCTAGCGATGTGAAGAAATCTGAATTTGTCACAGAAGAAGGAGAGAGAAGCTGGGGAGGGAAATGGATGAGGCAGCCATGGACCTCTCTGCCTTCAAGTAGCACATCATCAAAGGAGCATTTTGGAATTAAAAAACAAAACAAAATTGGAGTTGGTCAATAAGAAAGAACCCTACATCTACACATGAAAACATCAAGGCAGCCAAGGGAGAAGAATGCAAATGGATGAAGGTCCTACCTGGTGGTTATGTCTAAGTTGTGGATATTGAGACATAGAGATCACTATCAGATGGGCTATATTCAGCATCCGAACATGCCTGGAACATCACTCTGGAGACGCTGAAAGGTAAAGTAGTACCGTTAGCATGGAATCAACGCCCTACTAAATGACACACGGGTAGGGTAATTGGCGCCCAAACTTTGTATGCTTAAGCAGTGAAATGAAATTGAACAATACTTGAGGGACTGTCACAGAGAAGAGTAGGTCAACCTATTCCCCAAAGCACCCGAGGAGCTGCAGTGGCGCAGTGGTTAGAGTGCAGTACAGCAGGCTACTTCTGCTGACTGCCGGCTGCCTGCAATTTGGCAGTTCGAATCTCACCAGGCTCAAGGTTGACTCAGCCTTCCATCCTTCCGAGGTGGGTAAAATGAGGACCCAGATTGTTGGGGGCAAGAGGAGGACTCTGTAAACCGCTTAGGCTATAAAGGGCTATTATAAAGCACTGTGCAGCAGTATATAAGTCTAAGTGCTATGTGCTAAAGAAGGGAGGGAGGGAGGAAGGGATGTGGAGACACAGTGGTTAGAATGCAGTATTGCAGGCTGATTCTGCCCACCACCAGCAGTTTGATCCAGATCAGCCCAAGTTGACTCGGCCTTCCATCCTTCCAAGGTGGGTAAAATGAGGACCCAAATTGTTGAGGGCAAGAGGATGACTCTGTAAACCGCTTAGAGAGGGCTGTAAAAGCACTGCGAAGTGGTATATAAGTGTAAATGCTATTGCTATTGCTGTGGGCGGGACAAGAAGTAACAGGTGGAAAATAATCAACAAGAGATCCAACCTTGAATTAAGGAGACATCTCCTATCAATGAGAACAACTATTCGGTGGAATGGCTTGCTTCCGAAAGTTGTGGATGCCCCATCACTGGAGGTTATAGGGTCGCCTGCAGGGAGTTGGAGGAGACGACCTCCAAGGTACCTTCCAACGCTGTTATTCTTATTCTGATCCTAATCCAACCATTTCATTCCTATTGAGTCTTACCTGTTCCTCACTTTATCCACCCTCTCCTGCATGGCGTCCTTTCTCATGTCACTTGTAACAGGATATACCCGAGTTTGGCTGGAAAACATTAGGTGTATTGAAATAAATTTTGCAAAAAAGTACTGGGCCAAAATCAGAAAATGGTTGTAAGAAATAATTGACCAACCCATAGATTAGAAACTGGAGACATTTCTGTTGGGAATATTTACTAGGAAATATATTAAAGAAATACAATATCTAATTTTACATATAATAACGGCTGCAAGAATATCGTATGCACAGAACTGGAAAAATGATAAGATACAAACTGAGGAAGAACTGATAAGGAAAATTCTGGACTGTGCTGAGATGGACAAATTAACGAAGGAGATAAAAGAAAAAGAAGATACAGATTACTATGCAGTATGGAGCAAATGGTATAATTGGCTGGAGACTAGAAATAATAAATAAGAATGAATGAGGAAAGGTCACAAAAAGATAAATGTTTGTAAAATAATTGATGGTTATAATATTATATGTGAAGGAATATATATAGAAATATGGGATAATGGGACAATAAGGAAAATATATTTAAAGAAGAGTAAGGGGAAAATGTAAATGAGAGAAGACTACCGCTGCGAAATTGTTGTAAAAAGGGAATATATGTTTTCTGTTTGTGTATGTCATGCCCTGTAGTTTTAAAAATAAAAATTTATTTTTTTTAAAAAAAAGAAATAAATTTTTGGTATTTGTACAAGAGCCACCGAAGTCCAAAATTCACCTTCTAAAAGGCTTTCTTTTTTAAAAAAAAGTATCTTCAGAGTCCTAATCTGAAGAGCATCATCTTTTCAGAAATGCATTTATTCTTATTTATTTATATAAAAAGATCTGGAAAATATTGGCCAGTGGCAATGCCATTTATATTTTGTTCACTTTGTTCTGTTGATTTTTTTTTTTGTGTGTGTGTAGAATAATCTTTTAGGTTTTACCTCCAACGCATAAACTGAATTCTCATTCGGTCTTCCAGAAGCTCCTGGCTAGAACTGCAGGAAAGTCTGATGTCAGAAATACTTGAAAAGTCCTATAAATTGAAAGAAAGAAAGAAAGGAAGGAAGGAAGGAAGGAAGGAAGGAAGGAAGGAAGGAAGGAAGAAAAGGAAAGAGAGAATGAGGGAGAAAGAAAGAGAAAGAAAGAAAGAAAGAAAGAAAGAAAGAAAGAAAGAAAGAAAGAAAGAAGGAAGGAAGGAAGGAAGGAAGGAAGGAAGGAAGGAAGGAAGGAAAAGGAAGGAAGGAAGGAAGGAAGGAAGGAAAAGAAATTGGTTACTGGTGTCAAACCTGCCTCAGCTTGAACATCTGAGTAAGAATTTTCCTTAACTCCATTTATTGAGAAAGATATCGTTTATTAAAACGATACCTTTCTCAATAAATGGAGTTAAGGAAAATTCTTACTCAGGTGTTCAAGCTGAAGCAGAACCAACAATTAGTTATCTCTCTCTGGTCATCCCAATGAGAGTAGAAGGGTTGATGTTGATGCAGATATACAGATCTCATCATCTTTTAATGACCCCAAAATCCTTTGCGGGGTGGAATCTGGGCAACTGAATAGAGCTGAGTGTTACTGACCGGATGCCCTTCCTGTCACCACTATGGAGCTTTGTTCAGCAGATATATTCTCATTATGCCCAGAGTATCCCAATAAGAGTAAAAGGGATGATGTTGATGCGGATATACAGATACAGGTTGACAAACAATAATCTCCCTTCTTCTAATTTATAACATCCCCACTAAAGTGGGTTGGGTTGAGATGTAAACTTGTGAGCTGAATATGGATGTGAACTTGAGTGTCTCCAACACAGGAGTGATTTCCCAAAATACTAACTCTAGCGTACCAGGTATCTAATTATACTGTAGATGTGAATATAGAATGTCAACGTACAAGCTTCCTACCTATGTTTATGTGGGTGTGTATATTTGAATGCACAGCATTCTGATTTTGCAAACAAGCTTCTCGTTTATTTTTGGAGAAAAATGCATTAAGCGTGAGCCATATTTCACAGATTGTCAAAATGTGTATCCAAACAAGTTTTGCTCTGTGTTAAACAGAGGCCTCCATTCATTCTTCTCTTCTTCTTCTTTCTTCTCTTCTCTTCTTCTTCTTCTTCTTCTCTTCTTCTTCTTCTTCTTCTTCTTCTTCTTCTCCTTCTTCTTCTTCTTCTTCTTCTTTTCTTCCACTCTTCCCCTCCTCTTCCTCCTCCTCCACCCCCTCCTCCTTCCCTTCTCCCCCCTCCCCCTTCCCCCTCCCCCTCTTTTATTCCACCTCCCTCCTCCGTCCTCCTCCTCTTCTCCTCATCCTCCTCTTCTTCTTCTCCTCCTCCTTCCCACCTCTTCTTCTTCTCCTCCTCCTTCTCCTCCCTCCTCTTCCTCCCCTCCTCCTCCTCCCCTCCTCCTCCTCTCTTCTCCTTCTTCTTCTTCTCTTCATCATTCTTCCTTCTCCTCTTCTTCTTCTTCTTCTTCTTCTTCTCTTCCTCCTCCTCTCCTCCTCCTCTTACTCCTCCTCTCCTCCTCCTCTTCTTCTTCTCCTCCTCCCCCCCCCCCCCCCCCCCCCTCCTCCCCTCCTTTCCCTCCTCCTCTCTTCCTTCTCCTCCTCCTCCCTCCTCGCTCCTCCTCCTCCCTCCTCCTCTTCTTCTTCTTCTTCTTCTTCTCGTCTTCTTCTTCTTCTTCACTTCTTTCTTCTTCTTCTTCTTCTTTCTTCTTCTTCTTCTTCTTCTTCTTCTTCCTCCTCCCTTCCTCCTCCTCCCTCCTCCTCTTTTCTCCTCCTCCTCTTCCCTCCGACTTCCTCTTCTTCTTCCTTCCTCCCTTCTTCTTTACTCCACTCTCAGCTTCGGACCTCCTTCTACCTCCTAAACTTCTCCTCCTCCTCACCCTCCCCTTCCTTCTCCCCTTCCTCTTCTTCTGCCTCCCTCCCTCCTCCTCCCCTTCTCCTCCCACTCAACCGATTCCCTTCTTACTGTTTGCTCCTCTCTCCTCCATCTCTTCGTCTAACCCTGATCCTCTACCTTTTCAACACACCTCCCTCCTCCGACACTTCTGTTTCCTTCTCCCCTCTCCCGCTTTCTCCCTTATCATCCCCTTTATTCTCACCCTACCTCCCTCTCTCCCTCTCCTATCTCCCCTCCTTCTCACATCCTACCCTTCTTGGCATGCCGCAGCTTCCCTCCATTTCGCCTCCCTCCTCCCCTCCCTTCCTCCCATTTCCTCCCCACCCCCTGTTTGCCCTCCAACATCTACAGTCCTCCCCTACCTCCTGTCCATCCCCCCCTCCTCCTTTTCCCTCCTTCTACTCCCACCGCCCCTCAGATTGTGGGGCCCCCCTGCAGCTCCAGAGCTCCTCTATCCATTAGCCATACACCTCCTTCTCCTGCTTCCTTCACTTCCTTCAGCAGCTCCTCTCCTTTCTCACTTTCTCCTCTCCTCCGATAATGCCTCACCCTTACTATCATCTCCCATGTCTTTCCATCGCTATCTACTCTCTTGCTCCTACTCCTACTTCATCCTCTCCCAACCCTCCTCTCCATCCGCCGTCGACTCCTTCCTCCAAATTCCGTTTGCCTACCCTTAGCCCTCAATTTTCCTCCTCTTCTAATATCTTTCCTTGCTCGACTAAACCCGGTCGTTCACTCCTCCAAAACACCCCTCCTTTTCCCCTGATATGTCTTCCGTTAACCCTCCCCCCTTCTTCACTTCTTCTCTCTTCACCTCATCACTTTCCGCTACTCTCTTCCTACCATCGAAGTTCACCTCACTTGGTCTTCCCTCCTCCCTCCTCTCCCCCTCCTTCTCCATATCATCCTCCTCCCTCCCAAGCTTCCTCTCCTGTCTCTTCTTCCCCCCCCTCCCTTTCTCCCCTTTTCCTCTTCCTCCTCCTTCCTCTCAACTTCCCTCCTCCCACCCTCTTTCCTTCCCTATCTCCCCCCCTGTCCCTCTCTGCTCCAATGAACCACCTTCCCCATCGAAGCCTTCCTCCCTTATCCGCTTACCCTCCCGTTCTTCTCCTCCTCCCACACTCCTTCCCTTCATCTCAGCTAAACCCTACGTCCCCCCTCTCTTCTCCCTTTCCTCTCCCCCCTCATCTGCCTCCTTGCGTGCCTTCCTCCCCGGCGTTCCTCCTTCCCCTCCTCTCTCCCCTCCTCCTCCCTCTGGCCTCTTCCCCTCCCAGCTCCCTCCCTTCGCACTTCCCCCTACTCTTTCTCCTCCCCTCCTTCCTCCATTTCCCCTTCCTCCTCTCTTCTCCGTCTCTCAGACCTTCCTCGGTTCTTCTTTTGCTTCTCCGCCCCAATCCCCTTGCCATCTCACTCAAAAAATCTCCTCCTTCTTCTTACACTCCTAAAGTCTTCATCCTCCTCCTCCTCACTCCATCCTCCCTCCTCCTCCTCCACCTTCCCCCCCCCCTCCACACTCTTCTCGCCTTCTTCTTGGCCCATCCTCTTCTTTCTTTCTTATTCTCTTCTCAGTTCTTCTTCATCCTTCTTAAGGAAGGAAGGAAGGAAGGAAGGAAGGAAGGAAGGAAGGAAGGAAGGAAAAGAAATTGGTTACTGGTGTCAAACCTGCCTCAGCTTGAACATCTGAGTAAGAATTTTCCTTAACTCCATTTATTGAGAAAGATATCGTTTATTAATAAACGATACCTTTCTCAATAAATGGAGTTAAGGAAAATTCTTACTCAGGTGTTCAAGCTGAAGCAGAACCAACAATTAGTTATCTCTCTCTGGTCATCCCAATGAGAGTAGAAGGGTTGATGTTGATGCAGATATACAGATCGTCATCTTCTTTTAATGACCCCAAAATCCTTTGCGGGGTGGAATCTGGGCAACTGAATAGAGCTGAGTGTTTACTGACCGGATGCCCTTCCTGTCACCACTATGGAGCTTTGTTCAGCAGATATATTCTCATTATGCCCAGAGTATCCCAATAAGAGTAAAAGGGATGATGTTGATGCGGATATACAGATACAGGTTGACAAACAATAATCTCCCTTCTTCTAATTTATAACATCCCCACTAAAGTGGGTTGGGTTGAGATGTAAACTTGTGAGCTGAATATGGATGTGAACTTGAGTGTCTCCAACACAGGAGTGATTTCCCAAAATACTAACTCTAGCGTACCAGGTATCTAATTATACTGTAGATGTGAATATAGAATGTCAACGTACAAGCTTCCTACCTATGTTTATGTGGGTGTGTATATTTGAATGCACAGCATTCTGATTTTGCAAACAAGCTTCTCGTTTATTTTTGGAGAAAAATGCATTAAGCGTGAGCCATATTTCACAGATTGTCAAAATGTGTATCCAAACAAGTTTTGCTCTGTGTTAAACAGAGGCATCCATTCAGCCTTCTTCTTCTTCTTCTTCTTCTTCTTCTTCTTCTTCTTCTTCTTCTTCTTCTTCTTCTTCTTCTTCTTCTTCTTCTTCTTCTTCTTCTCCTCCTCCTCCTCCTCCTCCTCCTCCTCCTCCTCCTCCTTCTGCCATATCCGTCATCAGACGTTGGCGATCATGTTGGCAATCCTATTTTTGTCAACAGCCACATGAAAAAGTGCTGCTGAATTTTGTCCAAACCAGTCCCTTAGGTTTTGAAGCCATTATGTTCTTCTTCTGCCTGGACCTCGTTTGCCTTCAAACTTTCCCTGGAGGATTAAGTGAAGGATGCCGTATAGGGGTGAAATTCAAAAAAATTTCCTTACCGGTTCTGTGGGCATGGCTTGGCAGGCATGGCAGGGGAAGGATATTGCAAATCTCCATTCCCATCCCACCCTTTCCACACCCACCCCAGCCCCCCAGTGTTGTGGTCCGCCAGCAGCCTGCAGAGCTGGCAGCGGAGTTGGACAGTGAGGAGGCTGGGGAGGACAATGGGCCAGTCCTGGAGTCTGGGGAAGGCCCGGACAAGGGCTCTGCGTCAGAGGCAGAGATGGGGCCAGGGCTATCTGAGAGCGATGTGTGGACTCCAGAGCCTCCAGAGGCAGATAGCAGAGAGGCAGAGGAACAGGAGGAGCCTGTTCCTAGTGCATGCATGTGAAGAGCTGCCAGAAGGTAAGAGCAGCTAAAGCAAAAAGGACGACTCGGGAGTAAGGCCAGGAGATAATTGGCCCCTCCCAGAAGGCTTAAAAGAGCAGCAACGACCCTTGAGATCTTTGTAGGAAAGCAATGTTGCTACATTTGTTTCTTGTCAGCATCTCTTGCTTCTGAACTTTTGCCAAGAAAAGCCTTTGGCAGGGTGCCAAAGAAGACAAAGGTTGGTGATAAGGCCGAAGGACTGTTTATGAAGAATTTGTTTTGGACTTAATTTGGACTAAGCTGAGAATGAATTAATTCTCAGCTCTTCTAATAAAATACGTTTGTTTAAGACTGATTGTGTCTGGTAATAACTACTTGGGCCTAGGTCACAACACCCGAGGTCAAACACAACCCTGATATGGCCCTCAATAAAATCAAGTTTGACATCCCTGAGCTATCCCTTCTATGGTCTACATTCTTCCCTTTTGTCACCTCACACTTTCCACTGAAGACAAATTGGAGGCAAGTTGCTTACTAGGAGAAAACAACGTTCGATTTGCTCTTCGAAGCGCCATCCATCCTACCATATGACCTACCATATTTTTAATCTTGGCTGGCCTCCTGTCTTCAAACTTCTCCCAAGTTTCTGGTTTGGAGCGGGCTGCTGCCACATCTTGGCCAACCGAAAGAAACGGTCGGACATCAGATCTGCTTTCACTCTTAAAATCCGTTCGGTTTTCTGATTTCTGCCTAAAGATATTTGCAGCTTCATCTTCCACCTGCAGAGAAAGAACAATACAGGTAAGTCCTCAACTTATGACCAGTTGCAATCAGCCAGTGGAACAGCTTGCCTTCCAAAGTTGTGGGTACTCCCCACAACTCTTTTAAGAATTCTCTTTTAAGAAGAGAATGGACAGCCCTTTGTCCAGAATGATATAGGGCCGTGATGGCGAACCTATGGCAAGTGTGTCATTGGTGGCACGCGGAGCCATATATCGGTGGGCACACAAGCTCAGCTCCAGTGTGCATGCGTGCGCCGTCCAGCTGATTTTCAGGCCTTCTGGGCCCACCGGAAGTCAGCAAATTGGGCCCCTTTCGGCCTCCGGAGGGCCTCTGGGAGAGTGGGGAAGGCCGTTTTTGCCCTCCCCAGGCTCCTAGAGAGTCTCTGGGGCCTGGGGAGAACAAAAAATGGGCCTACCAGGCCGTTTGGCACCGTACCATCACGTGCCAAAAGCGGGGGAGTGTGGGGAGGTTGTGCATGCATGCATGGGGTGCATAGAATTATGGGTGTGGGCACATGCGTCCCCCCTGCACTCCCCCCACTTTTGGCACGTGAGGGAAAAAAAGGTCAGCCAACACTTATTTCTTTTCTTATTAAATTTCTATACCGCCCTTCTCCCGAAGGACTCAGGGCGGTGAACAGCCACAAGATAAAACACATAAATACAAAAATTTAAAATAAATTAAAACGAATTAAATAATTTGGCTGAACAAATTTAAAATACCCCATAATTTAAAAACAAATTAAAATTTACATTTAAAAAGGGGAGAAGATTTATGCCAGGCCGGCTTGATGAAATAAAAAAGTCTTAAGCGCGCGACGGAAGGTGCGCAGATCCGGGATCCTCCGTATCTCCGGGGGGAGCTTGTTCCAGATCGTAGGTGCCCCCACAGAGAAGGCTTTCCCCCTAGGGGCTGCCAGTCGACATTGTTTGGCCGACGGCACCCGGAGGAGCCCCTCTCTATGGGAGCGTACTGGCCGGTGGGAGGCTATTGGTGGTAGCAGGCGGTCCCGTAGATAACCAGATCCTAAGCCATGGAGCGCTTTAAAGGTGATAACACTGATATAGGGTCTCCCACTTTAGCAGGGAGTTGGACTGGAAGACTTCCAAGGTCCTTCCAATTCTGTTATTCTGCCTTAGTGGCCATTCAAAGATGATAGATCATGAAAAAGGGACTTATGACCCTGATTCAAATTTCCAAATTTGCACACACACAAACAAACACACACACACACATATCTGGTGTCACGTGGCCACGTTTTGGGAACTTAGCAATAAGCCTGCATGCAAGACTGTTTGCAGCAGCATTTTTTTTTTAATTTTTAAACAAAACATAAAACATAAATCCATGATTCATTACAATTGCAAACAGTATGTCGGTCGGTTACAAGTCTTTTGTGCTTCATCCCCATATTCCAAATTTACTAATTATCCAATTTCTCATATTATCAAACAAATAAGTATCCTCATTTATCATTTATTTAACTATGGCTTTATCGTTTCATAAAAATTATTTTCAAATATTATATTATAACATTCATTTCATGTCTCATATTTCATTTCCATGTTTTATTATTTAGCCCTTGATAAAATAAATCCCATATCTTATAATATTGTTTATCTTCTTGTTCTCTAATTTCAAATGTCAATTTACTCATTTCAGCACATTCCATGATTTTCTTAATAACTTCATCTTGCGTTGGTATTTTCTCATTTTTCCAGTTTTTAGCAAACACAATTCTAGCCGCTGTTAATACATTCACAATCAAATATCTCAATTCTCTATTCTATCTGTTGGCAGCATCTTGCAAGTCACGCGGCCACAATTTATAATTTTCCTTTTCCTGAAATCAGCCTTGACTTCCAGTTTTTTGCAAAAAATGTCCCGTAGCGAACAATGAGTTTGCTCAACAATTGTGGCATTTGTTTAATGACCACTACAAAAAATATTGTAAACTTGATAGTGGTTCACACACGACAACTACCAAAGTTGTGGCTCCATTACAGTCGTAAGTCAAGGACTAACTGTATATTGATGGGGAAAAAACCCATAAACCTATTCTGGTTTTTTCAGAACAAGTTGAATTAAGTGAAGGCACATCTTACTATAAAACAAAACAAAACAAAAAATACATCAAGAGAAAGCATTAAGGATGAACAGAACATCAAGCATCACAGTAATCCAGAAACTTGTATTTTGGGTGCACGAACATACACTTATCTTCCACATATATCCCTTTTTTTTCTTTTTTAAATAGTTTTTATTAAACAGTTTTTTAAAAAAAAAAAACAAAAAAAAGAAATTTTTACAATTTCCTTCTTTTCAACATTTTCGCATCAGTAAACATTTCATACATATCTATTTTTCTCCCTTACTTCAATTTACCATCTATACGTATGATTCTAATATTGATTTATAGACATAAAGATAACAATGTACTCAATTTCAATCATGCATTCTGTGTCCGTTCCATTTCTGCTTGTCTGTTATTACATTTCAGCTCCTATATCTTCCTCATTTACTCTTTCCTTGCCCTTTATCCCTCTCTATAACCATTCATACCAGTAGTGGGTTTCAAAATTTTTTACTACCGGTTCTGTGGGTGTAGCTTGGTGGACGTGGCATAGCTTGGTGGCCGTGGCAGGAGAAGGACACTGTAAAATCTCCATTCCCTCCCCAATCCAGGGGAAGGTTACTGCAAAATCCCCATTTCCTCCCAATCAACTGGGACTCAGGAAGCAGAGAATAGATGGGGGCAGGGCCAGTCAGAATTTTTACTACCGGTTCTCCGAACTACTCAAAATTTCTGCTACCGGTTCTTCAGAACTGGTCAGAACCTGCTGAAACCCACCTCTGATTCATACCATTTATCCCATACCATGTAATATTCTGTTTCCTCTTTTTCTTGTATTTCTTTTGTGAGCTTGTGTGAGCCATCTCTGCGCACTCCAAAACTTTTCTAATCAAATTTTCTTCCACTGGTGTATTATTATTTTTCCAATTTTGTGCATATATTCTTTTTGCCACTATTATAATATGTATAATTAAATATTGTATTTTTTTGTCATATGTCCCTGGAAGTGTTTCCTAACAAAAATATTTCTGGCTTCATCTCTATACGCTGTCTGGTTATCTCTTCTAAATATCTTCTAATTTTACTCCAATATTGTTTTGCACATATATCCCTTTCTATTGGCTGGAGAACATTCCTGGACACCACTCAGTCTAAATTTATTCCAAAAACTATTTAGCACCTCCTATTTCAGATTTAGTGGAACGACTTGCCTCCAGAAGTGGGTGCTCCAACACTGGAGGTGTTTAAGGAAAGATTGGACAACAATTTGTCTGAAATGAGATAAATTCTCCTGCCTGAGCAGGCGGTTGGATTAGAAAACCTGCAAAGTCCCTTCCAACTATTATTCTAAGCCTTCAAGTAGATCAACACTCATCACCCATGAATGATGTAGGATCAGGATAGTCTGTGTCAAACTAATTTTAGCCAGTGCTGCCAAGTAGATCAAGATTTTTTTAATAAGAAGGCTAAGGTGTCAATGCAACCACTTTCTTATTGTTGTCCAGAAAACAATCTGGGAATGGAATGGAATGGAATGGAATGGAATGGAATGGAATGGAATGGAATGGAATAGAATAGAATAGAATAGAATAGAATAGAGTAGAGTAGAGTAGAGTAGAGTAGAGTAGAGTAGAGTAGAGTAGAGTAGAGTAGAGTAGAGTAGAATAGAACAGAGCAGAACAGAACAGAGCAGAGCAGAACAGAACAGAACAGAACAGAACAGAACAGAACAGAATAACAGAGTTGGAAGGGACCTTGGAGGTCTTCTAGTCCAACCCCCTACTTAGGCAGGAAACCCTACACCACATCAGACAAATGGTTATCCAATCTCTTCTTAAAAACGTCCAGTGTTGGAGCATTTACAACTTCTGGAGGCAAGTTGTTCCAAGTTGGGTATGTCCTCGAATCCCAATTTTGATGACGTCGAAACTCGAGTTTCTTATTCCAGATCAAAGAAAGCCTTCTCCTATCCCACCCACATCCTTGTTCTGGATGGGGAATCTCCTCCATACCGGCTACATGCAATTTCAGCATCGCTCACTTACCTTTCTCAGCCAATGCTCCAGGACAGTCACAATCTCTGGTTCGACGACAGCATCATCCTTAACGGAAAAAAAAGGAGGAGGGGAAAGGGAAGAATTCAATAGAGGATCTTGTGATACATCTTAAGTTTCTTCTCCTGGTTCAACCCACTTGTTCTGAGGATCAGCCACCAACTGATGTCCTTACCAGATTTTCTCCAGCTGGTAAAGGCTGTTTCGAAGCTCTGCGGAAATAGATGAATGCTGTCCATGTAGTAATTATCATCCCAACTCGTGCTTACAGTACCGGGGAAGCCAAATCCCCGTAGCCACAATTTTTGCTTGGTATAAAGAACTTCTGGATCCTTCAAGTGAGAATGGTGATTTTTGTGAACCAAATCCACCCTATGCCAGCAAAGGACGTTGTCTGGGAAACTGTGATGTCATAATAGAATAGAGAAGCGTGCACCTCCATTGGCTGTCTTCCTCCAAGCAGGGAGGATGGGTTTTTTTTTTTTTTCTTTTGAATATACTTTTCCAGGAAGAGAGGCATGGAGACAATACTAGCGATGCCAAACAGACATTTAAGTCTTTTCAGGATCTGGTCAAATGTTTCATGGAATGTAATACAGAACAAAGCTGAAACTGTTGTGGTCTGCCAGCAGCCTGCAGAGCTGGCAGCAGTTGGACAGTGAGGAGTCTGGGGAACGCTCAGATGAGGACTCTGCGTCAGAGGCAGAGATGGGGCCAGGGCCATCTTTGATCAATGCGTGGGCTCCAGAGCCTCCAGAGTCAGACATCTGAGAGGCAGAGGAACAGGAGAAGCCTGTTCCTAGTGCACACATGCACAGAGCTGCCAGAAGGCAAGAGCAGCTAAAGCAAAAAGGACGACTCAGGAGTAAGGCCAGGAGATGATTGGCCCCTCCCAGAAGGCTTAAAAGAGCATCAACGGCTCTTGGGATCTTTGTAGGAAAGCAGACATTTGCTACATTTGTTTCTTGTTTCTCCTGTGCATGCGCAGATTGCTTCTGATGATGTCAGGGTCCTGCCAGTTTTACTACCAGTTCTATAGAACCAGTCCAAACCGGGGGCAACCCACCACTGATGCACACCCATTTTGGGCCTGGAAAGCCTTCTGCACCAACCTGGAAGTTGCACGGGCACCGCACGAAGCCCCAAAATGCAATGCAAGCGCCCCCCGCATATGTGCCCCACCCCCGTGCATGTGCAACAGAGACTCAAAAGACCAGCTGGCCGGCGGGAGGCATGCGTGCATGCACAGTGGAGTTGGCTGGGGCGATGGCTGGCATGCTCGCAGAAAGGGCTCTGTGTGCCACCTGTGGCACGCTTGCCATAGATTCATGGCTATAGGATGACCACTCTTACTCTAAGGGGGAATTAATTCTTACATACTTTGCTCCTTCCATACAAAGGAAAGGTTTGCTATCAAATAGCAAACCTTGATAGTACAGTGGTCTACGCACCCTGTTATTAACACAGCTGCCTGCAATTTACTGCTGGTTCGAATCTTACCAGGCTCAAGGTTGACTCAGCCTTCCATCCTTTCTAAGGTAGGTAAATTGAGGACCCAGTTTGTGGGGGCAATAAGCTGACTTTGTATAAATATACAAAAGTATGAAGGTATTGCTTAACGCATTGTAAGCGGCCCTGAGTCTCCAGAGAAGGGCGGCATATAAATCAAATTAATATATATATATATATATATATATATATATATATATATATATATATATAAAGTCATAATGACATGTCAAAGTGAGGACAGAAAAGCGTAGGAGTCAAAATGTTTTTCCATTGTTGTGTGATGGAGGCAAAGGTATTTTTATTGAGAGGCTTTGGGTATCAAAGCTAACTTGTTGCTGAAGTGGATTTTAATCTGGCAGCACTCTAATCTCTCATTTGGACGTTTGTTTTATTTTTAATGGCGTTTTTAGTGGATGATCTTATGTGCATTTCATGCTTTTAAGTTCATTTATAAAATTAGAAGGCTGGCCCTGGAGCGGCTCTCCTGCATCACGTTCAGTTATAAAATTACAAGGGTAATTGGATCTGCTTTCAATCATTGCTTTCAATCAGATGCAGCGTGAGCATCTGAAATGCGATGTTGTTTAGATTCAATTATACAAATGAGATACCACATGGAGTGGCAGCCATGGGTCAGGAGTAGGAGATAGGGCCGGTCCAAAGAAGATGGCGCTTCCCTCACTTCAATCCCATCTCCCCAAATGTCCTTGTGGCTTGTTTCTCAATTTTTATTTTATTAATTTTTATTTTTATTTATTTTTATATGCCGCCCTTCTCCGGAGACTCAGGGCGGCTTACAATGCGTTAAGCAATGGCCTTCATACTTTTTGTGTATTTATACAAAGTCAGCTTATTGCCCCCACAATTTACCCACCTTAGAAAGGATGGAAGGCTGAGTCAACCTTGAGCCTGGGGAGATTCGAATTTACAGTAATTGCAGACAGCTGGATGTTAAATGCTGCCTTAGTAGGAGGCATTAGCCTCCTACGCCACTCAGGCTCCTTGTTTGATCCATGTTTGGTCACCACAATGTAAAAAAAGATGTGGAGACTCTAGAAAGAGTGAAGAGAAGAGAAACCAAGAGGATTAGGGGACTGGAGGCTAAAACATATGAAGAACGGTTGCAGGAACTGGGTATGTCTAGTTTAATGAAGAGAAGGACTAGGGGAGACATGATAGCAATGTTCCGATATCTCAGGGGCTGCCACAAAGAAGAGGGAGTCAAGCTATTCTCCAAAGCACCCGAGGGCAGGACAAGAAGCAATGGGTGGAAACTAATCAAGGAGAGAAGCAATTTAGAACTTAATAAGAGCCTTGGTGGCGCAGCAGACTAAAGTGCTGTTAAGTAGCACCAGCTGCCTGCAATTACTGCAAATTCAAATCTCACCAGGCTCAAGGTTGACTCAGCCTTCCATCCTTTCGAGGTAGGTAAAGTGAGGACCCGGTTTGTGGGGGCAATAAGCTGACTTTGTATAAAAAAAGAACACCGCTTGGGGGGGGGTGAAAGCCCTACTAAGCAGGTATATACAAAAGTATGAAGGCTATTGCTTAACGCACTGTAAGCCGCCCTGAGTCTCCGGAGAAAGGCGGCATATAACTCGAACCAATAAATAAAATAAACTAAGGAGAAATTTCCTGACAGTGAGAACAATTAATCAGTGGAAGAACTTGCCTCCAGAAGTTGTGAATGCTCCAACACTGTAAGTTTTTAATCATAATCATAAGTTTATTTGTCAAGCATATATAACAGGTAAAAGTATAAACATAATTTGAATACATGAAAAGAGTAAGTAAAAAGGAATATTAGGACAGGGATGGTAGGCACGCTGGTGCACTTATGCACGCCCCTTACAGACCTCTTAGGAATGGGGTGAGGTCAACAGTAGACAGTTTAAGGTTAAAGTTTTGGGGGTTTGGGGAAGAAACTACAGAGTCAGGTAGTGCATTCCAGGCATTGACCACTCTGTTACTGAAGTCATATTTTCTGCAATTGAGTTTGGAACGGTTTACCTTGAGTTTGTATCTATTATTTGCTTGTGTATTGTTGTGGTTGAAGCTGAAGTAGTCATTGACAGGAAGGACATTGTGGCAGATAATTTTATGTACTATGCTTAGGTCAGACTGAAGTCGGCGTAGTTCTAAATTGTCTAAGCCCAAAATTTGAAGTCTGGTGACATAAGGTATTTTATTGCGGTTAGAGGAATGGAGGACTCTTCTCGTAAAATATCTCTGGACTCTCTCGATTTTATTTATATCCAATATACAGTGCGGGTTCCAGACAGATGAGCTGTATTCAAGAATTGGTCTAGCAAATGTTTTGTATGCTCTAGTTAGTAGTACAACATTACCAGAGAAGAAGCTACGCAAGATTAGGCTAACAACTCTTAAAGCCTTTTTGCCAATGTTGTTACAGTGGGCTCGGGCACTTAGATCTTTAGAAATGAGTACTCCAAGGTCCTTGACAGAGTGAGGGTCATCTACAAGTTCATGTCCATCTATTTTAAGAAGAGATTGGATAAACATTTTTCTGAAATGGTATAGGTTTTCCTGCCTAAGCAGGGGGTTGGACTAGAAGACCTCCAAGGTCCCTTCCAGAGGTGGGTTTCAGCAGGTTCTGACCAGTTCTGGAGAGCTGGTAGCAGAAATTTTGATTAGTTCGGAGAACTGGGAAATAGCAACTCTGACTGGCCTCGCCCCCATCTATTTTCTGCCTCCCGAGTCCCAGCTGATCGGGAGAAAATGGGGATTTTGCAGTAACATTTTCCTGGAGTAGGGAGGGAATGGAGATTTTACAGTATCCTTTTCCTCGAATGGGATGGGAATGGAGATTTTACAGTATCCTTCCCCTGGAGTGGGGAGGGAATGGAGATTTTACAGTATCCTTCCCCTGCCACACCCACCAAGCCACACCCACAGAACCGGTAGTAAAAAAAATTGAAACCCAGCACTGGTCTCTTCCAACTCTGTTATTCTGTTCTGTTCTGAGCTTTTTTTCTCTTTAGATAATAAAGTCTTCTTTTTTTAAAAAAGAAACATATTAAGTTTCCACAAGAGGTAAAATAAAAATGCCCAGAAGAACATTCAAACAAAAAAATTTTCTCATGTTTTGCCTTTCTTATCACAATAGACTCACCTTGGACTTTGGGAATCCAATCACCACCATGATTTCTGTTGAATAGTATCACGTAACAGGGAACCAGAACAACTCCATGAATAGGTCAAAGCAGTTTCTTTATTGTTTTTTTTATTTTTATTTTTTATTTATTTGATTTATATGTCGCCCTTCTCCGGAGACTCAGGGCGGCTTACAATGCGTTAAGCAATAGCCTTCATACTTTTGTATATTTATACAAAGTCAGCTTATTGATCCAACAATCTGGGTCCTCATTTAACATACCTTAGAAAGGATGGAAGGCTGAGTCAACCTTGAGCCTGGTAAGATTCGAACCTGCAGTAATTGCAGGCAGCTGTGTTAATAACAGGGTGCTTTAAACCACTGTACTACCAAGGCTCTCTTGTTGATCACCTATTCTACAAGAATCTTCCCAGACTTCCCTTGGGAACCAGTAGATAAAGGCTTGAATGTTGGGGCCTTTACCATTTTCTCCCATGGATGTCTATGGAGATTCTCAGCTCATCTAGCTCATGGTTGTCCCAAAGATTCTTTTTTCAAAGGCAGATGGACTTTGAAAAGCACTTTTGGGACTTCCTCCCATGGACTGACTTCATGCTGGAACACCTTTTTACTTGCCCCCCTTCTGTAAGTGATTCCAGGTGAACCCACCACAAATATGAGCCGAGGTGGCGCAGTGGTTAGAGTGCAGTACTGCAGCTACTTCAGCTG